CTTCTCGATAAATTCCTGCACATCATTCCATTTTCTGCAAATTTCCTTGATCTCAGCACTGGTGATTTCTTCCCTAGCCTCTTCCTCTGACGAATGCTCTTCTTGTAAGACTTTCATCTGTTCTTCCTGCATGGCAACCAGCTCTTCTGTCGTTAGTTCATTTTGATGGTCTTTCAGCAACTCCTCCACGTCTGCATCATCTACCTCTACTCTCAAACTCTTGCCAATGGACATGATTTCATGCACTACATCAGAAGAGCTCTCTTCTTCAAATTCCTGAAAGTTTCGCTCTGGGACACAAGTTGGCCAAAGTTTCCTCCAGGCCGATTGCAAAGTGCAGTGAGAGACCTCACTCCAGGCTTTGTCAATAAGGTTGATACAATGCAGGATGTTAAAATGCTCCTTCCAAAAAGCTCTAAGAGTTAAGTCGGTATCATTGGTAACCTGAAAACACATGGTAAACAGTGCCTTGGTATATAGCTTTTTAAAATTGGAAATCACTTGCTGATCGATTGGTTGCAGTAATGGAATTGTGTTGGGTGGAAGGAATTTGACCTTGATTAAGTCGTGTTCACTATCCAAGTTGTCCTCCAAATTTGGTAGATGTGCTGAAGCATTATCCATTAAGAGAAGACATCTAAGAGGAAGATCCATTTCCTGAAGATAATTTTTAACAGTAGGAGCAAACACTTCTGTGAGCCAATCCATGAATAAAGTCCGAGTTACCCATGCCTTACTATTTGCTTTCCATTGTACAGGCAGTTTGGACTTTATCACATTTTTGCTCTTAAAGGCAGAGGATTTTCAGCATTGTAGACTAAAAGTGGCTTGATTTTGAGGTCATCACTTGCATTAGTGCAAAATAAAAAAGTGAGTCTGTCTTTCATGGGCTTGTGCCCGGGAAGTGATTTCTCTTCTTGGGTTATGTACGTTCGTCTAGGCATTCTTTTCCAAAAAAGACCAGTCTCATTGCTATAAATACTTGATTCCAGACGTATCCTTCACTTTTTACAAACTCTGCGAATTCATCTACAAATGCTTTTGCTGCTTTTTCATCTCTCCGTGCTTTTGCTGCTTTTTCAAGCCTCTCCATGTCTTATGACACTGTGAATGCCAGTTCGTCGACGAAACCTATCAAACCACCCTCTGCTCACTTTAAAGTCCTGCCTGTCTGCACTTGTACTGGGTGTCTGGGTCAACAAGTCATTGTATAAGTTTTACATAAGTTTGTATAAGTTATAAGTCACAAATTATAGCTTCATTAACACTGTCTCCAGCAAGTTGATTTTCATTGATCCATATTAGCAACAGTTTTTCAACTTCATCTAAAACTTTAGATCTTCGTTTCGATATCACATTTACTCCTTCAGCCACTTCGGCAGCCTTAAATGCTTTTTTGTTTTTAATAATTGTAGAGATAGTCGATTTTGCCACATTATATTCTTTAGTGATGTCAGAAACACGAATGCCATTCTCGTATTTTGCAATAATTTCTTTCTTTAATGCTACACTAAAACGTTTTCTATTTCTGCTGTCACTTTTCTCTTTCTTCAGTGCCATATTGATTAAATATACAGTATAAATAACAAAACTAAAAAACGAAGTTTAGCACACTCGAAAAAGCAATGCTTACCTTGAGCACGCCTAAGAGCAACTGAAATTTGTGAGGTTCCAGAACGGCTGGAAACTATTGGGTTGATGCAAAAGTTTGTCCCGTTTTTAGGACCAGCTGGCTAAAAATGCAACACTGAAGTATTATTTCCTTCACATGTGTAAAATTTCGATGTTGTTTGATAAAAGGGATTTCAGCTAGTATTTGAGAATAAAGTTGTGTTACTTAGTTGTGTTTTTAAAATTTTGTTAAGCATTACAAATGGCAGAAAATAAGGAGCATTTTCGACATATTATGCTTTTTTATTTCCGAAAAGGCAAGAATGCTTCGCAGACACAAAAGATATGTTCTGTGTATGGTGAGGGAGCCATTGATGATTCCACATGCCGTAAGTGGTTCAGAAAGTTTCGTGAAAGCAAGCTTACAAATTTGACACAAAAAACCATTAAGTTCGTTATCTGAGACAAAATTTTTGCAAAATAAAAGTTTGTTAACCAATTTGGTTGTTAACCAGGACATTCGTTAACCGGGTTCCACTGTATTTTCTTTTTGAAGGTCCTGGTCCGCGATTACTTACATTAAAAAATTTTCTAATGTTCCTTTCTGTTTTTTGCTCATTGTTATGGGTTAATTATAAATATATAAAACTAAACACACAATATAAGAAAGAAATGCACTATTATTCGACCCNTATTTTTAATTACTTAGATTTAAACTTATACGTTTTATAAGTATGCGCATGCGCATTAGCGTTAAATCGTAAATTAGCGATGTAAAAAAATTTTTTTGTATTTTTCGAATACTTTGTTCGTTGTAGAGTTCGAATTTTGAACTGAGGATGATCGATTAAAACGATCGAAAACGTTATTCAAAGCATTAAAAGTGTGCTGGAATAGAGAAAGGTGTTTGTTTTATACTTACCTAAGATCATTAATTAAAGATCTTGGTGCTCATCGTATATTTCATCACACTTGCAATATGGCAGCTGGTGATTTTTTGTTTTGTTTTGTTTATGGAGGGCACGAAGAGAAGACCGTTTTAATTTTACCCATGCTTGGTTTCTGAAGATCCACAATTTGGGCTGCAGGGCTGTCTTGACACATCAGGTACAGATTCTTGAATAGTTCAAATTCGATCTCAGAGAGGTAGACTGAAGTCCTAACCGCTCAAACATCCGGCTGTCACCTTCTTATACTAGGTGTTGAAAGTATAACAAGTAGCGACACTTGCATATAAACAGTTTCTTATTGTACACTAGACACTTGCACATAAATTGTTTTTAGTTGGCCTGCAATGTACCATACCTCTTACGTAATATATTATTTCGATGAGAAATTGCCATTCGATGTATGCCATTTTGTTCACGACGCGTTTTTGGATTTATTGCCAATTATTTGTAACACGACTGGCAGGCTGCCGGATTTCAACGAACTTGGGTAAAGGTTATACATATAATACGTAGGAAAGATGGATGGGAGCAAGAGGATGTCTCGCTTGGAACGAGTTAGTGCTGGTTCCTGTAGGTATGCAGTGTTTTAGAATACATTTGACAGTCAAACTAAGAGAATGCCAAAGGAAATGTTTGCAAAGTTTCGATCTAAAATTCATCTTCAACATTTAATAAATTTGTTTCTGAATCTGTTTGCTACTCATGCTTGAATAAATAAATTCTTTCTGAAGTATATTTTTGTGAATTTTATTTATTTACACATCTATAGAAGTGTATTTTCAAATCAGTTATATATGTCTGCTTCAACAAACAATAATCCTTAAGTTACAATTTAAGGAATAATCATTTTAACACTAGAAATAATTGATTTACAACTGTTTGAGAAATATTACAATCAGAACTATTATTTCTATAACATTAATTTATTCAAATAATTAATTACATATCAAATCTATTTATTAAATAAAGTACTGTATAAAGAATAAAAACTTGTATAAGGAGCAATATTAAATTTTGGTGATTAAGGGTTAAAGGAGTGGGCCGATAGAAGAGTGTCATGTGTCATATTTCGAGAGAGATCGGACTTAATGAAGATGTTTTTCATTATTAACATTTACATTTTTTTTTTTTTTTAATAAAACTCAATACTCTCATTACTACCCTCAAAATTAAGCTTTCTGCTATTCGATAATAACTAAAAATATAAAAATTTATAAGTAAAGGTTTCATCTTCTAATAGTGAGACTAGTGGTATTTATCACGTCTTTCTTAATTGTCCGCAATTAACAGACACTGAGATTAAAACAGCTCACTTTATTTCGCCTAACAATGCATTTCAACCCAAAATGCATTCCAATTTTTCAATCCCTCTTCAGGTTCAGAGAGCTTTAGTGTCTAATGTTGTTGTCTACAACTTAACGAACAAAATGTCATGTTAAATTATCTATACTTTTGTTATCCAGAATGATGGATGTAGTGCACAATTTGTACACATACCAATGATGCAGTTTGCATATACCAGTCAGTCTCTTTCACTTACTGGCATACTTTCTTTGTCTATTTTTGATGGAAAAATGCAGCATTTCCCACAATTATTAGCTCCTTATTACCTGTTAAAAGGATTTTAATTTCAACAATGTGGTTAATAACACGACAAAGGTCAAAATGTAGTGTTTCATTGTAAATATTTTCACAAGTAGAAACCAAAAGTTTCACAAACTATAATAAAAACACAAGAACGCTACTTATATTCTGCAAAAGAAAAAAACAAAATAAAAAAAATCAACAACGTACTGATTATGGTACAGAACAGATTATGGTTTATTTATAGTGGACCTGAGTACACTATAAATAAACAATCATATGGCTGAGAGTAAACCCTTCCAAGACTTGGCTCGTACTTGGATTATAAAAATATTGGTATATCGAGGGTTGAGTACTACACTTACCAGTTTAAACTCTGATCTTGCCTTCTCTATAATAATTAAATAAAATTTAAAAAATAGTTAAATTCGATATGAATCAATGTAGATTTATATCACTTATGTAATTGTCTAAATCTCAAATCTAGGGGCAAACAAAACAATATAGGATTAGATGAAAAAAATAGATTTTAAAGTGACAACCCTGCCCCATACGTGGTATAGACTTCAATGTTTGACTTTAAAGTAAGATGGCGGTCGATATTCTCCTTCGTTGTCACCAAGAGCGCTGTAACCATAGTCACAGCCACTCTATGTAGTATATTCTAGCTCGTTAAAAAATTCAAAACATCGCAATGTCCGAACAAGGATTTGAGATTTAGCACTTTTTATGTGCAACAACATGAAATTTCGAAACAATGAGGGTTGGTACTTTATTTTAAGGAGGCCTTCATATATTAGGGAGTAGAAATCCGATATACGTGAGCCTCAATAAAGGTCTGGAAGATCCGCATGCGAACCGCAATTTCTTCACCATGGCTCTAGAATCAAACGACAAAAATTACGCGAAAATAATAGTTTTTAAAAAAAAATTCTTTCCGCTCTATGGGCACTAAGAGGGTCTCTTTTTATCAAGACCATTATGGGTTCGGCCAGGCCCACAATGAGGCGGCCGGGAGGTGAGGAACGGTGCCCAACATATCTGGATGGACCACCCCGAAAAATTCCTGGGGATATTTCGACCCGTTCGGATTCGAACTCGGGCCCCCCCAGAGCGGTAGACTGCCACCTTAACAGCTCGGCGGAAAATAATACAGTGTGCAACTTTATTGTTTTTCAATTTATTATTTTTCAGTTTACTTTTTCCATATTTTTAAAAATGTACCGTACATGTATTCAAATTACGCATTATTGATATCAATATTAAATATCATATTGAATATGTATACGGTATGATATTTAATATTGTATTAAATTCAACTCTTTAATTATTAAAATTATTTAATTAAATAAATAAAATAATTGCAATTTAAATAACATATTGTTACATTTAACTCGATATGATAAAGATTAAATAATTATTGCGAAATGATATACTTTTGAAACTTGGCGTTATCAAATTTCTAGAGGGCGTAGAAAACATTTCTATTTCAAAATGGCGGACGACGTAGAAATAAAGTCAGAGTCGTGGATTAGTTTAATTATTTCTGAAATCGTCTACAGTCCAATAAATTTAACTTTATTAATGATCTGTGTTATATTAATATACAAGTTATGGCCTGGAAAAGAATCAAGCTCGCAATCATCAGAAAATACCGAATTACCGCCTCTAAAGAAGCAGGATATGACATTGGAAGAATTGAAGAAATATGATGGGAAAAATAAAGATGGAAGAATTTGTGTAGCTGTTAACGGAAAAATCTTCGACGTCACTCGAGGAAAAAGATTCTATGGTCCAGGTAATGTTTTGTTTTTTCAGTGTTAATTCCTATGAGTCTTTTGTTAAGTGCTCGGAAAGCATAATGTTTATTTATTATTATAGAAAGAATAATTATATAGAAACCAGGTAATGAGTAATAAATTATGATATTTTTTGTTACTTGCATTTATATTTGTGAAAAACAAATGCACACAATATGCAAATCATGATTTTTCTGTGTGAAATTATATACTGTACTTATAGGGAAATATTGAACAAAATATACTATTACTGCAAAATGTTTTGTCATTGTATATGCAGAAATATTTATTATTTCACAAATCAGTTGAAATGATAAAAGATTTTAAAATTTTTGAAAAATTCTGGAAAATAAAATAGTGATAAATATTTTTATATATTGTTCATCATCGTCTATTATTGAATACATCAAACTTTTGAAAGAAAAGACTTAACTGAAAACATTATCAATTTTCTGTTTAACAGTTTTTCAAGAAAAAAAAATTTATTCATTCTTCAAATTATATTTGAAGAACATTCCAGATATAGTTTTTTGGTACTTTTCTGTTAATGGGATGCCATGGATCAATATAAGCAAAGGTAAGATTTGAGCTGGTGAATGAGGAGTTTCACACCACCCCCAGAATTGTTGAACCTTCACAAGATATTCACCTCCAAAGGTCAGTTTTTAACATATACCAGTATACTGCCAATTCTATATGTTTTACATGAAGACTTGTGCTTCAGTGCTCGCTTTCGCTTGCACCTCACCTGGTGGGGGTGAGCACCCACATTCCCTAAAACTATATAAAAGTGGTTCTTAATTTTTTTATACTCACAGCCCACCAAATATTTTACAATTTTTTTAATAATTTATTTGGTTTCATTGCTTCATTGGAGAGAACTACATTGCATATGAAATTTCTTGAATTTCTATGCTTACAAACCCATATTTGATATAATCATGATCATATTTTCCAATTTTAATGTTACTTAATTTTATACCTTCAGTTTTAGGACTTGTGGTTTTTTCCATTGCATTTTTTTCACTGTATCATCATTGGAACTTTCACTATATTTTTCACTATACAGTGGAACCCCAGTTAACAGATGTAATCCATTCCACGAGTTCGTTCGTTAACTGAAGCAATTTTTCCCATAGAAATTAATGCAAATACAGTAGATCCCCCTATAAAACCGTTTCCTATAGTTATGATTCCTATAAAAATTGTGGCATTATCCGTAAACAACGGTAAAAATAACTCCTATAATACGTAAAACGTCATCGGGCAGCCGAACTACTTACCCGCCGTCCGTAGCGCCACGCTACGGAGAGATTTCTATCGTCTGGACAGTATTATATAAATTATATATAAATTAGGTACTGTACATATAATTATATATTAATTATATATAAATTAGGTACTGTATATATAATTATATATTAACTTAATTTATTGTAACTTTATTATAATTAAATATATATTTTTCGCCGTCTAGCGTCACGCTACGGCGAGTTAGGCGACCTATCGTCTGTTTAGTACTGTAATTTTATACATTTCTTGTGAAAGAAACATTTCTTATTTAACGGCCATAAAAATTATTTATATTAATGATGTCTCCAAAGGTCAACGAAGTTTTCGCAGAAAAATAATATCAGAA